AGATGTTTATTTTCGCTGTAGCATAACGTCCTTCACTCTACATGAAGCGATGCTGCTGCGTCTTGGATGCTTCTTGTTGCCATGGCGATCAGAGATAGCCCCCCTCTACTAAGTGCATGACTGTAACATACCTCAATCTTCCATTGTTGCCCATTTAAATTAGTCACAGGGGTGCCTTGTAAATCCGTTACAATACTAACACCACTTTTTTACATGTTGTTTGACATATCCAATATAGCCTATTATACCTCGTAATTCAAAAGCAATTTTAGGTAGTCTGTAACATTTCAAAGTCTGTAGGCAGTTTTTCTTGACCAAACTCAATGGGCAACCTTTTAAACGTTTTTTCCCCCTAGTAAAATCACAACTTTCCTTATTATAAAAATGATGTTCTTTGTATCTACATCAGAACAATCCAGATAAGACCCATGCGGACACACACACCAAATTGCTTGGGATTAAGCTGCTATAAACTGCATTGATTTTGAATAACTCCATGTGCCTAACCAGCCAATATTATCTTGTCAGTTTACCTAGTAATATCTGGGATTCAAATTGAAATCAGTTGTTTATGTAGCACATAAAATGTATTTTACCAATTGAAGTAATCAATTACACGCTGTCAGTCTACTTACTTCTTATAGTTTGGTGTAATCATGGGCTAGTTATAGTTCTTCTGAAAACATTTTGCAATGTATATGTTCTCACACTTGCCACAATTCAGAAAACGTGTTACACTAAGCTTTGGTGTACGTTTGTAAATTGTACTGTCTGGGTTTTATAAGGAAAAATGACCTGAAAGTGATCAGAGTGGTCTGAGCAATCAAAAGGCTTTAGATTGGTCCGGGTTTGTCTCCGGTGCTATAAAAATAGCGACGTTACTGTTCACCGTTATCCAATCATCAACATCTTTACAACGACACAGCACCGCCGGCACATTGATTGTGTGGTTTGTTCTTAGAAGGGCCTTATCTTCTGGAGGCCAGGCTGTTTAAATGGGAGTCATTGTGGAGTTAATACTGAGGCTTTCCTGACAGCCAGTGGAAAGGTGCGGCTGTGGCCTGATAATAGGCAGTAAATTCATGCTGGGACTGGCTGGGTGGGAGAGAGAGAGATAGGGGAATATTTGCTGCTTTATTGGCTTTGGCTCTGTGTTGCTAAGGCTGCCCCCCTCTCCTTTAGTGCCTGCTGTCTGCTTTCCAGGAATCTTGGCAGGAGGAGCGTCTTGCTGATAGAATGGTAAAGCATTAAAGTCTGAGGCCTGCTGCCCCGCTCCCAGGAAACTTACCAGGCAACCAATCACAGTTTCAGAACCAGGTTAAAGGGACAGGACCCAGAAGAATGGCCCGAGAACACAAGCAGAAATTAATTTGTTGTGTACATTTATTTTTTTATAAGGTCAATGTTTTAGAGAATGCCAGGACTGCTTCATTTAAGTATAGTTGTTATAAAATCATTGTGCTGAAATTATTTAAATGCTTTTTGTAGGGCCAGATCTGCATCAAACGGGTAGTATTGTGTTCAAACGGCTAAACACCGGCTTCCATGCAGTCGTTTTTAGTCGGAAACGTTCTTAAAATGCAGAATCAAACGTGTTTGTGTTCTGAGAAGTCAGCAGTCTGTTGAGGACAAGTGAAACTTTCCTGGAAACAGCCTTCTAAGGTAGAGAGCAAAATGAGGATTATTTTAGGCCCCCACGGGGGGAGGGGAGGGGCTTACACACGGACATACACACACAAACATACATGCATACACCCTAAGCCGCTTTTACTCACCATAAACGAGGTGGTTTACTCAGACTCGTATAACTTTCTATGTTTTCCTTGATACTCAAACACATACTTAAACTCTTTGTTATTACATTCTTGTGCAGGCACTGTTTAACTATTCGACAATACTTACATTTCTCAGAGGTTTTTCCAGTTTTTTGGAATTCACCACACATCCCTACAATCTGTATTAATTGCTAGCAGTGCTATTAACCCATGACCTCCCACCTCCACTTAACCTGTGCTTTGTAAGAGCTACATGTCATCCCGCCCGTGGCATCACAAGGACTCAGTTTCTCTTAACTTCCAGTATCTATCTTCTGTGATCGTACAACCATTCTGTTAGTTTATGACCTCTGTATATATAGTTGAAATTTGAAACCTATCCAATAGACAAATTCCAGATGGATCAAATTTGTAGAACCTGTGTGTGTAGATAATATTGAGATGTCAGCTTTTCTCATCAAGTTTTTGGATTGTCTTTAGTTTTGCCAACAGCTGAGTGTTATTTTTTCCCTACTACTCCTTATTTGGTTACAATGTCTCTCTCGCTCGATCTCTTTTTATTTTATTTCTCCAGTGACGACCTGTTACTCACACTCTCTGTATTCTAAGACGTTTCTTAAACTCGCTGTATTTCTGAACACATTTCTTTTTGGTTGGCCTTCCCCCTCAATTTTTGCCTTCACTCAAACTTTCTATGTATTGCCCTGATAAGTTTGCTGTGAAAACAGATTAATCTTTGGTTTGATTGGACCCAACCTCTCCTGGCATGCATTCCGGAACATGGTGTACTTTCTGAGGTGCTTTCTGTGGGCTGAGGTCGCCGTGTGCCCAAATGACACTCTTGACCTTGGTCGTTTTTTTCTCGAAGTCATTGATGTGTCACTTTGTACAAGCTAGCTATTTCATACTGACTCCATGTGTTTGAGGGGTTTCAGGAGGCGTTGTTACCTGAGTTTCAATAAACAGAGTAAATCTTTTGCGATCTAATATGTGTCTGGAAAAATTGGCCGATTTTAACTGAAAAAGAAACTTCTTTAGAAAGGGAAGCCTAACACCCTGGTTCTGATGCAATACATTTAATTTAATAACTGTTTTTTGTAAACCAAGCAAGGGTTTTTGAGTCGCTAACAGAATGGCTTTGTCATTGAGATTGTTGCAGAGGCCATTGGCAACTCTGGAACGACTTCTCTTATTACCATTGGATCAGTCATGGCCCCGCTTTATTTTTTTTTATGTCAGCCATTGGAACTCATATTACCACCTGTGAACTTTAAGACACTGAGACACCTTCTTGGACTTAAAGGAGTTAAGACACTTGTCCGTTAACCAATGATTTTGTGTATGTCTTTGTGTATGTCTTTGTGTATGTCTTTGTGTATGTCTTTGTGTATGTCTTTGTGTACGACACCAAATTAAGTCTAGTGGAGGACACTTGTGTATGTCCTGACTTTTGAAGATGCTTTTTAGTTTTGTTTGGAATTAGAGTTCGTTTTTTTTTTTTAAAAATTAAGTTAGAAGTTAGTTTGGCATAACATGTTCTCAAGCTATATAAAATTTGGCGGTTACGTTTTTGGAAGTTTGTTTCTTCCAGATGTGCATTTTCTTTAGAGAAATACTTACTATTACTATGCCTTTACTCACTAGGCTCAAAGACCGTCTGTACTTCAGCCCCGGATTTTCTGACTTCTATAGAAATCAGATTACACCATATTACATTTTCACTCGTTTCCTGACCACTGAAGTTTTTCTTAGCTACACGTGGCATAACTGCTTGTGTCAGTGCACCTGGAAAAGCATCGTTGCACCCAGCTTGTGTAGCCTACACTATACTTACAAGGCACTAGTGAAGGCGTGTTCACAGAAATATGGATCTGTTCTCTTGTGCTGTTGGTGTTTCATTTCCTAATTCGTAGGTCAAAACATAATTGTTGCCTACCATTCATTCCTATGCTATGTGAGAACCATGGGCACATTACATTTGGCTTCAATGTACTGCAGTCTCTTATAGAAGGTTGGAAGTCTTTGATTACACTGTAGAAAACTGAACGTCTCTTGATTAAACCAATTAAGTCCTTGGCCCAGACCTTTTGCCAATTGCTTTTAATGCCAAAAGTAATAGTTTTTGAGGTATGTATTACGACCCATTCACTTTCTCCGTATTTTGCTGTTACAGGATGCATATGTAATTTACTGACAGTAAATACATTGCATTCAATCTAGACATGATACCCCCTAAGGATAAAGCTAAAGCACTATTTCGAATACTTGGCCTTATTTTGTTAGATTAGTAAGTCCTCATCCCACCAAAGAATCTTTTACTCACGGCCTTTGTCCAGCCACTGTGGAACATAAAGGCTAAAGACAGTGTAGATATTGTTGTCCTGCCAGGATCTCCCACATTTGTATAGAAACTCTGAAGCTCTGTTAGAGTGGCCATTGAGTTCTTGTTCACTTCCCTCACCCGAGCCCATTAATGCCCAGACGGCTGGCTCTAAGAAGAGTCTTGGCGGGTCCAAACGTCTTTCATTATTATCATTCAGCCCACTCAGGTCTTGGGAATCTACAGTGCTTTAGCAATTGTTTTATAAACTTCCCGGGATCTATGCCTCAACACAACTTTGTCAGTGGTCTGCAGAGTGTTTGTTGGCCTTTAAGGCTTTGTGTTTTATCTGACAAGCACTGTGAAGTGATCGACACTATATAGACAGGTGTGCCAATTTATGCCCAAACCATTGAGTTTGCCACAGGTGGACTCCAGTCAACTTTTAGAGACATCTCAACGATGTTCAGAAGTACACAAGAAGCATCTGGAAGACAGTTTTACATAGTCAGTATATTTTGAATACTATGATATTATTTGTCGATTGGCAAATATCCATATTTAATCAATATGATTATCACAACAAAATGTGGAGAAATTAATCGGGTCAAATACTTTCCGAAACCACTAGAGATGCACAAATTCAAGTTGTAGAGATGGTCTAACTAATATTTGGAAGCAGGGACTTTGCAGCTGGACTTTGACTAGGCCCGGCCCAAAGCAATCGGCGCGCAGAAACTTTTTAAATGTAAAAGCACAATGTATTTCTTAATATTAGCTACTGCATGTGGCATTTACCGCTAAAATGTTGAAGTTTTGCTGTTTTAACTACATCATACACATGGGCAAAAATAGAATTCAGAAAAAATAAAAGCTTCAAAACTATTTAAAATGATATATTGTGGCATCTGGTGGGGGGAATCTAACCAGCGACCTCTGGCTCCGTAGCCGAGCACACTAACCACTACTCCAAACAGGGATATTCCAATTGGAGGGCAAGTAGCAGCTATTTGTTATAAGTCGCTATTGCGCAATTTGATTTAATTACAGTAAAACAGATTAGGGGGGGAAAAACAGGTGATGACTGCGTGTGTGGCGGGTGGTGGGCCGGTCGTCCTGGAGTACCGGCCGTTCTGTGATTCTCCCGATCACACAGATGGCCAGTCCGCTCCTGTTTGGATGTATAGAATTGTCAAAACTTACAGTTTATGATAATAATAAGTCAATATTATTTCCTTTTGAGATTTTTTGGAGATTTTTTCATGCAAATTTAAAGTTTATGTATTATGTTATTTTCTTTACCCTACAAATTTGACCTATTATACAGTAGATATGAAAAGTCAACACATGCCAGGTTTTTGTGATGTGACTGCCTGGGCCATTCTAAAACATTAATCATCATCTGGTTAAACCATGCTGTTGTGGATTTGGATGTGTGCTTTGGGTCGTTTTTGTGCTGAAAGGTGAACTTCCTCTTTATCTTCCACTTTCTAATGGAAGCTTGAAGGGTTTGTGTTCATAATTCCCTCCACCCTGACCAAGGTCCCGGTTCCAGCTAAAGAATAACAGCCCCAAAGCATGATGCTGCCACCACCATGCTTTACTCTGGGTATGGTGTTCTTTGAGTGATGTGCAGTGTTGTTTTTGTGCCAAACATACCTTTTGGAATTATGTCCAAAAAGTTCAACTCTGGTTTAATCAGACCATAAAACATTTGCCCACCTTTTGGGGGACTTGATGTTTATTTTTGCAAACTTCAGCCAGGCTTGGGTGTTTTTCTTTTTTTTTTAAAGGCTTCCGTCCTGTCACCCTAACCCATAGCCCATACATATGAAGAATATGGGATATTTTCTTAGTCAGTACTTGCCAGAAATTCCTTCAGCTCCTGTAATATTGCTGTAGGCCTCTTGGATGCCTCTCTGACCAGTTTTCTTCTCGTGTTTTCAGCAATTTTTGAGGGACGTCCAATTCTTGGTAATGTCTCTGTTGTGCCATATTTTCTCCACTTGATGTAGACTATCTTCACTGTGTTCCATGGTATATCAAATTCTTTGGAAATTCTTTAATACCCTTTTATTGACTGATATTTTCAACAATGAGATCCCTCTGATGCTTTGAAAGCTCTCTGCGGACCATAGCTTTTGCTCTGAAATGTAACGAATAAAATGTCAGGAAAATCCTACTGGAACAGCTGTCCTTTATTTGTTATTAATCAGAGTCACTTTAAATGATGACGTGTGTAATGACTTCTATTTACATGAGTTTGAATGTGATTGGTTAATTCTGAACACAGCCACATCCCCAGTTATAAGAGGATGTGGCACACTTATGCAGGTTATTGTAAGGTTTTAATGTTTTATTATCCCCTTCAAACATTTCAGTTTGTTTTTCAATTGATTTGTTCGCGTCATAGGTCACCTTAAAGGTGGAAAAAGTCCTGATATGATATATCTTTGTCAAATTTTTTCACATAACAACCACCTGGCATTTTAACTGGGGTGTGCAGACTGTAGAATAAAGAATAAAGGATGCTTAAAAATTCATTCCCCATGAAATGATTTAGCACGGTAACACTGTGCTATTTTTAAACCTGCCTGCTCCTCGCCTACATCTCTACCTCCTTAAAGCCCTGTTAGCCATATGAGTACGGCCTGGTATTTTAAATGGGTTTTGGTCTGACTATTGTATTACACTAATAGTTCTGCAGTGTTCCATGTCTGCCCACCACTTGTATGCAGCCTTTATGTGGAGACAAAAAAATAACATGAATCCCTTGATTTCAACATCCTTCATTGGATCCATTGCACGGTGTTATTCCACTCTCCAGCACGTGTCCTTCTTCTGGCCTGTCGCTTGCTCTGGTCGTTCCCTATTACAATTGGAGGTCATTGTCGAACACTTTCTGAAAACACGTAAGCCGAGACAACAAATACGCGAGCATGCTTTCTCTCAGTCGCTCAGACCTTGAAAAGCAAACAAACAGAGTGGCATTGCAACATTCACCGTTGATCGACTACGTATTCACTGATAGTCCCATTGAAATGACAGTGGCCTTGGGTGACAAATCTGGGATATGTTTTTATGAACAGTATCTGTCTCTCTCCCCCTCCCTGTCTCTATTTGTTCCATCTCTTTTCTCTGTTTCCTTCCCGTGCATCTCCTCCATTTTCTCTCTTCCAAAGACGACGAGTTGAACATCCCAGAGGCGACGCTCCGGGCAGTCCCGTCCGACAGGCAGCTTTCCCGACTGGCATCCCAACTCGGTACGGAGTGGGAATCGCTGCTCCTCGACCTAGGCCTGTCGGCTGGGGAGTTGTACCGTTGTCGTGCCGACCACCCTCTGAATACCCACGGGCAGGTGCTAGCGGGGCTGGTCCGGTGGCGTCAGAGCCAGGGGAGAAGAGCCACAGTCCACAGGCTGATCCAGAGCTTACAGGCCAATGACATTCACCCCTCTACCCTGAATGAGCTGTTCCGGTAAAACCTTAGCCACCAACCACTTCCAGAGCCCTTAAGAGGGTTGAAGCTCCTTGACCCAGATAATCGCTTTTCGACAGCCATGGACGTCAGGATATGAGCACATCTCTGAGGTCTCCCCGAGAGGAGAAACAAACAAATCATATGATCAATTGCAATTCTTTTGCACTTAGTTGTCTTTACTTATTCGTCATCTAAATGGCGTCTGACAGAAGCCTTGGCGTGTGTTTGGCCTGTTTGTGTTAATGATTGACTATGTTCTTGTTTATGTCTGTAGTATTGGCTGTCTGCAGAATTGTTTATCTATAGATGGGCATCGGAGTGTCCCAGGTTTGTTGCTCCATAAATGTCCACTCTTAAAATTTACAGCTAGAATAGTAGAATATTTGGTATCTTAACCCCATTAATTGTGCTCATTCCTAGTCTATAATTATTCTAGTATCTGTGTGTGTGTGCTTGTCATGGTTTCCAAGAAACTTAGAGAGCAACACGTCCTTAAATAATCTCTTTACCTAGTTAACCATAAAGAACCATGAAGAGCTGATTGTTCCTGGAAGTAATGAACACATGGTCCTGGCCTGCAACAATAGTTAAGCTGTGCTCACGGCACTTGTTATCCAATGGGAATGCCTCCACATATCCAGATCAGGTCTGCAAGCCCAACAAGCACTCCGGGATCCAGCCACATATTTAACAAGACCAAGCTGAATATTCCTGGGACTTTAACTGTTACGTTAACTGGCACAGCACTTTTTGCTTATGATTTGACAAAAAAATATTATTATTCAGTATACGGTATATCCAACTTTTTGCGGTCGAGCTGAAATGTAATTTCCTTTTTTATAACACATTTCTAGGTTTCGTTCTTCTTGCTTAAGCGTTTTATTGCGTTTTATTTACTGTTTCTTTACAGTTGGAAAAAACGAAAGGTGCCTTCCTGTTCATGACAGGCTAATCTTAACCATGTTAAAATGACTGTCGGAAATGTAAGACCTTTGTAGAAACACATGCTTCTCTGACATTGTGCACTTGTTAGTTCTGTCTGTGCCTGGGCCAGCGTTGGCCGAATATTTACTAGTGGTCTGGGGAAAATCTTATCACAGCCACAAATACAAATAAGCACACAATAAATGCCTCGGTCGAGGTCTTCGGCACTACATTTGATTAAGGTTACTATGTTCCTGGATAGCTTTGAACTCAATTACCTCTGTGTGTTTTTTTCTATCCCTAGTACCGGTAACTCAAAAATATTTGCAGAGGGAAGGGTAGCGTAAATGGGGGTGGAGACTCACGTACACACAAGCACAACACTGCAGGGCTTTTTCCACGTGAACGGGCTGGTCGGTCCACACAGAGAGCCAGGCAGACCAGGCCAGCACAGGTGGGGGGCTGTAGCTGCAGTGACCAGCCAGCAGTCCAATCAATCACACTTTATTTACTTTGCCCTTTTTCGAAGGAGGGTAAAGGACCATGTGGAGTCACTATTATTGCGTATATATTTATTAGGCATCGAAGAAAAAAACTTGTTGAGTGTGGCTGTCTTGTCAAGCAAGTTACGTAATCTTTCAGGTTTTACTTGCAAAACATTTTTTCATAATGTATGCCTGAATAATTTCCAACCCAGCCGTGTGGAATACCATATGCCTGAATTATTACTTACCCAGCCGCGTGGAATACTGTATGCCCGAATAATTAATGACCCAGCCGGGTGGCATACCTTTTGCACAAATGGTTACTTACCCAGCTGCGTGGCATACCGTATGCACAAATGATTACTTACCCAGCTGCGTGGCATACTGTATGCCTGAATGATTACTTACCCAGCTGGGTGGCATACCGTATGCACAAATGGTTACTTACCCAGCTGCGTGGCATACCGTATGCACAAATGATTACTTACCCAGCTGCGTGGCATACTGTATGCCTGAATGATTACTTACCCAGCTGCGTGGCATACCGTATGCACAAATGATTACTTACCCAGCTGCGTGGCATACCGCATGCACAAATGATTACTTACCCAGCTGCGTGGCATACCGTATGCACAAATGATTACTTACCCAGCTGCGTGGCATACCGCATGCACAAATGATTACTTACCCAGCTGCGTGGCATACCGTATGCACAAATGATTACTTACCCAGCTGCGTGGCATACCGTATGCACAAATGATTACTTACCCAGCTGCGTGGCATACCGTATGCACAAATGATTACTTACCCAGCTGCGTGGCATACCGTATGCACAAATGATTACTTACCCAGCTGCGTGGCATACCGTATGCACAAATGATTACTTACCCAGCTGCGTGGCATACCGTATGCACAAATGATTACTTACCCAGCTGCGTGGCATACCGTATGCACAAATGATTACTTATCCAGCTGCGTGGCATACCGTATGCACAAATGATTACTTACCCAGCTGCGTGGCATACCGTATGCACAAATGATTACTTACCCAGCTGCGTGGCATACCGCATGCACAAATGATTACTTACCC